CTGAGAGTGATATCTATTTACGAACAAGGTATCTTGGAAAGGAGATGAGAGATGTGACAACTATCTTTGTGTCTCTAGGCTTCAGATAAAGAGAGGACTCGTGCCTGTGGCTGTTAGCTTGATATTTTCCACACCAATATTTTCCACACAGTGCTGCTGTTCAGCTTTGGCTTGCCTCTGGTACAGATGGACACAGTCATAGCGTGTGTTTGTGGGTTTGTGAACCACACACTGTTCTTAGGCTCGAGAGGGGACTGCTCCCCGTGTGACATTTCCAAAAGGCTGTTGGGAACCCAGCAGCAAAAGGTCCCCAAATCACCAAGAGTGTTGTGACTCTGATATTCACAACCTGTGTTACTCACACATGAGACCACATGATCTCTCTTCCTGGAAGAAAAGTCCGGTTATCGCCAGATCTGACGCTGAGCACTTCCTGCCGCGGTGTGTCACACATTCACACCCAGCATGGCTKCGAAAGCGCTGCTAACAGCTTGCCAGCTCCAAAGCTCTCAACATTTTCACAGAAAGTGAGGGGTGGGGGGGGGTAGTGTGGAAAAATACTGAGCCAGCAGGACAGTCCTCAGGACCYTACAACAGGATCACCTCCAACTCTGCTTTCTTTTTCATGTGTTGGAGTCTCTTGGGGCAGGGAGTAGGAAGGAGAGTTAGAAGTTTATTAGTTTACCTAGTTCCCTATTTAGAAAAGCTGTTAATCATTTCCCCTCACCCCAAGAGACAGAAAAAACACTGTAGATTATTTAATATTTTGTTCATTTACAAAGAAGCAAACCTGKTTTTTTTGTACTCAGGAAGAGTACAGATACGTGGTTTGGTCATGCAGAGAGAAAAATAGAAAGAAGAAAGTGTGGCTAGAACTCGATCTAGCCACTGTCATCAAGAATAACAAATACATTAACAACAAAAAGAAGATAAAAGAGAATTTCAATTCTTTATTTGATGTGGCAGGGGAATATTGACACCAAGGATGAGGCTGAGCCACTTAATGCCTTCTTTGCCTCAATCTTTAACAGGAAGACCAGATGTCCTCAGGGTACCCACACCCGTGAAGTAGAAGAGAAAGACAGGGAACAGAATAAGGCCCCCTACAATCCAGAAGGAAGTAGTTAGTGACCAGCTGTGCYACTTAGACCYTCCCAAGTCTGTGGGGGTGGATGGGATCCACCCAAGGGCACTGAGAAATCTGRCAGAAGAGCTTGCCAAGCCACGCTTTGTCATTTATCAGCAGTCCTGGCTGACCAGGGAGGTCCCAGGTGACTGGAGMTTAGCCYGTGTGACACCCTTCTACAAAAAGGCTGCAAGGAGGATCTGGGGCTATACAGGCCTGTCAGCCTGACCTTGGTGCCAGGAAAGGTCATGGAGCAGGTCACCTTGACTGCCATCACAAGGCAGGCACGGAACAACAAAGGGATCAAGCCCAGCCATCACGGGTTTAGGAAAGGAATGTCCTGCTTGAGCAACCTGATCTTCTGTGACAGAGTGACCCACTTAGTGGATGAGGGAAAGSCTATGGGTATTGTCTACCCAATCTTTAATAAAACTTTCTACACTGCCTACCACAGCATTCTCCTGGAGAAACCGACAGCCCATGGTGTGGCTGTGTGTACTCTGTTGGGTAAAACATTGGCTGGATGGTTGAGCCCACAGAGTTGTGGTGATTGAAGTGGTGGCGGTGGGTCACCAGTGGTGTTATCCAGGTTCAGTTTTGGGTCCAGTCCTGTTTAAGATCTATCAATAATCTGGATGAGGGCATCCCTCAGTCAGCTTGCAGGTGACACCAAGTTGGGCCAGAGCGTTGATCTCCTGGAGGGCAGGAAGGCTCTGCAGTGGGATCTGGACAGGTTGGATTGATGGGATGAGGCCAATTGTATGAAGTTCAGCAAGGTGAAGTGCCAGATCTTACACTTGGGTCACAACAACCCCATGCACTGCTACAGGCTGGGGTAAGATTAGCTGAAAGGCTGCCCCGCAGGAAAGGAGCTGGGGATGGTGGTTGWCAGAGGCTGAACATGAGCCAGGTGTGCTCAGGTGACMAAGAAGGCCGATAGCATCCTGGCCTGGATCAGCCATAGTGTGCCCAGCAGGACCAGGGGAGGTATCATCCCCCCATATTCAGCAATGGTGAGGCCACTCACCTCYAATTCTGTATTCAATTCTGGGCCCCTCACTGCAAGAAGGACATTGAGGTGCTTGAGTGTGTTCAGAGAAGGACACTGGAGATGGTGAAAAGTCCGGAGCACACATGCTGTGAGGAGCAGCTGAGGGAGCTGGGGTTGTTTAACTGGGAGAAAAGAAGCCTCAAGGGTGACCTTATTGCTTTCTACAACTCTCTGAGAGGAGGGTGTGGCAAGGTGGAGGTTGGTCTCTTCTCCCAGATAACAAGTGATGGGTCAAGAGGAAATTACCTCAAATTGCACCAGGGGAAGTTCAAGCTAAATATATCAGAAAAAAATTCTTTGCTGAAAGAGTGGTCAAACATTGGAATAGGCTCCCCAGGGCAGTGGGGGTGTCACCATCTCTGGAAATGTTCAGAAAACAAGTAGACATGGCAATTAGCAATGTAGTTTAGTGGTCATGGTAGTATTCAGTCAAAAGTTGGACTAGATAATCTTGGAGGCCTTCTCCAACCTTCATGATTCTATAAAGGAAAATTGAAAAGCTTAAGAAGATCTACATGGGAAACTAGGATCCTTGGCTCCTGTAAGATAGCAAACTAGGCATCACAGGCAAGGGAGTCACTGTCTTTTCAAAGTCCATCTGGGATGATTCTCAAAGTACAGGAAACAATTGGGAAAGCCCTGAGCTTCCTTACCTGGAAAGCTGTGGGATCTTCTTCACCTGTTTTCTCCTGGACACAATAGAGCAGTCCAAGTCTTGAGACAGGTGGTGAAGAAACTGATGAGAGGAGAGGAATAGTTTCCAGAGCCCTCCTGGCTACAAGCAGACTCAACTCCTCTGAGCAGCTCTTTTGAGGTGAAATCCAAGCCAGTGGGTGACCCTGCACCTGGGATTCATAATGACATTCAGGATGCATCATGGAAGATCAGGTAACAGTATAGGAGCAGCAATCTCGATGCTTGGACAGACAGAGATAGGAAAGAATTAGTTCTAGTTGACACTCACAGCTGTGACACAAGTACTAACAAGTTCAATATCTGTGAGTTTTTTGGTATAAAATCTCTCAAAAGTTTTTAAGAGATAAGAACTTTTAAGCACATGGCTGGTATTGTCCCACTGCTGAAAAGTCCGGAAATATGTCAAGAAAGTGGACAGATAGTACAAATGGTGAATGCAGGGATCGATGTAACCAGAGCAACTTCTCTTTGCATCGCAACTTTTCTTCTGTGGCTTTTTCTTAACCCAGATCAGGGCATGTAGAGGCAGAASAGAAACGAAGTCTGTGCTATCCCCATTCTTTGCAAGTGGATTGAGGTTTACTTTTCAGTAAAGGTGCTGATTTGTGGGTTAGTTTTCTGGGCTCATTCACCACATCTTTGCCACTAATTAGGCAATGGTTTCCCTTGAGCAATGGAAGGAATGGGCAGCACCGTTGTGATGTTTTCCACTAATACAGGATGTGGGATGAGYTGTTCTGCAATCAGCTTATCATAGTCAAGTAACTGTAGTTTGCCAGCAAGGCAGAGAGGCTTTCGATTTCATGAAAAATAATGAAGCAAGAATGGGAAACTGTGTGAGTTCTTTTTACTGCTACCATCAGAGCTGGAGGAAAGAGAGGGAGGGGAATTCCCCAGTATTTTTAACCCAATAATGGGGATTTCTTTTTTTTACACTGTGCTGCTGAGACAGCTGACACAGTTGTGGCTCTGAGCTGACCTTAGAGACTTTAAGGTCTAGACTCCAAAGTCTAAAGTTGGACTGAGTAGCTTAGAATGTAATCTCTGACTGAATAAAACCTGAAGCTGGGTCATCATAGAAAAAGTTCACAACCTCRGTCAGTCAGGAGGAGATGTCTTCATCCATTTCATCACCAACTCCAGCACTGACTGGCAGTGCTATTGTCCCTGTACAAAATCTGATATCCACATCTGCAGATATTTCTCCCTCCCGTCAGAGGTTTTTAGACCAGAATCAGGCAAATGGACCATATGCCTGCTCACCCTCAGAGCATGGAAGTGCTGGCACAGTCTCCTACTGGGATCTGGGAAGAAAAGAATGAGCAGCTGAGGTTTGGGATGTCACTTGAACAGTGTGAGGGGTTCCTATGCCATCGGAGCCAGTAATAACAGAAAAACAGGTTCAGTTATGAAGGTGAGTCCTTGTTGGCCTGTGTTTTCCAGCCTCATTAGTGAGCAGTCCCAATGGGATTGATACTGAAGTCACATTCATGTCCTGAGAAGAGAAACTGTCCATCTAGCCTTCCCTGCAGAGGTGGCCTTTCCCACCTSTGGGTCTCCTCCAGGCAGATCCTACACAGAGCAATGGCAGTATTGGCTTTGCAGGTCCCTCAGAGAAAGGTAGGCACTAGTGTTTGGGACCTGGCTGGAGAAGGCTGTTTTGCATGGATCCTCATCCTGTGTGTGCCTTAGAGGTGGAGGCTGGGAGAAGGAAGAGGTAGCATTTGCTGCTGGTGTGCAGGGGTCAGCTGGAAGGCCCCCCTTCCCACTCCCCTCCGTTRCACCGACAGCACCACTGTCCTGCAGGTCTGGCTGGTCAGGAAGGTCAGTGTCCAGCTGGCACATGGGACCACCAGGTTGTGATACCTCTTTGTCCATCACCTCCTCAACCTGTTCCAGCGCTGGTGAGGTGCCTTCACCTGACTGGARAGCCCCAGGAACAGCCATGGCCTGCTGGGCTTCGCCTTCTGTCTCTTCCATGAAGGAGCAGTTTTGGAAGCCCTGGGTCGCCTCAATACAGTGAAAGAAGTTGCTGGGAAACACGTTCATGTCCTCTGCCAGCATGCAGAGATCTGGCGAGGGGAGCGCTTGGTAACACTCGCCATCCTTGCTGCCACCACCCTCCTGGTTGAAAGGCTCGTAGGTGAAGTAGACCTGGCAGGGCTCGATCTCAAAGGAGTTGGAAAGGTGGAAGAAGAAGTAGCCTTGGTTGGTGAAGCAGCTGGATCCAGAGTGCACACTGGTTTCTACAGGAGGATCAGGAGTCAGGGTTCCCTTGGAAAGCAGAACCTGGGATTCCTGGTCATTCTTCTGCATCACCTCGAGCATGGAGATCTCCGGGACTGTGCTGTTCATGCAGTAGGAAGATGTAGAGAATGGGGAGGAGAGCCACTTCTGATGGAGAGGAAACACAAGAGAGAGAGACTTTGACACCCAAAGTAGAGCACTCAGGGAGGAACCAAAGGTTTCTTCTACTGAGGTGCCACAGCAATCAAGTGACCTGTTTTCTGCCCAAGAAAGAGTTACCAGAGGTGGTGGGGAGGGAAATTCACATTCATGGTGTCTCATCTGAAGGTTTTTCAGGGAGAATATGTCATTCTGTCACTTTAAAATCAAGAGATCTTGTCAGCATATGTTTTGAGATTTCTGAAGCAGAGAATTAAAGATGGAGAATTAAAACAAAATGAAGGAAAAAAAAAAAGGTAGGACAAAACCTTACAAGACCATAAGATGAAGTGAAGTATGAAAACCAGTACTGAGATGTATCTCATGCCATCTATTCCTCAGTGCTGAACAAAATTCTGATACATCTACAGGGCCATATGCAGATTTCTTGTCTAAAGTGCTCTTCCAGGCCCCTTGTGCCTAATTTTCCCATTCATCATGAACAACATCCTGCAGTGCATCATTATCCTTAAAAATAAACTGGTTCTGATGACACCCAAATCCATTGCTTTTATGGCTTGTAAAGCAAGTTTTTCAAGTTCTTTCTGCACTGCTAGTCTCTTCAGTGCCTGCTGAACACCCCCATCTCCCTACTCTTTCCCTGTATCTTAAGCTGTCTACGCCTTTTTGCACCTCAGCTTTTCCAAAGCTTTGCTGTCTCTGGACCCACTGCAGTTCGTTTCCGTCCTTCTTAAAGCAAGATGCCCCTTGGGATCAACTCCCATRTCTTGCATCTGACACTCCCCTTAATATTGCACAGAATGGTAAAAGTCTCCTTGCAGCTGCCCATACTCACAGAGAGCCTAGGGGAAGGGAAATAGTGGAGTGGGGAAAGAAGAGAAAGAGACAAGAATGCAAGAAATAGCTAAGTGTATCCAGTGTGATGGCAATTCACATCAGGAGCAGAAGAGAAGCTCGCAGCTTGGAGGAGGAGATCACAGCCAGAAACCTGGGGAAGTGCTGGGCAGCCTACTGCAGTCAGGGAGGGACTGAACTGGGAGGGAAGGGGATCATGAGGTGCCAAACTCCCTCCTGCAGGTCCCTTGTTTTCTGTCAGGCTGCCCACTATGGGAGCAGGGGGCTGTGTTTTGTGTGGATTGCCATTTCTCGGTTCTGTAATTAGAGATCCCTCAGCTGAGWGTCAGGTTTTAGAAGGTCAGAAGACAGAACTTAAGCAGAGAACCCAGCAGCTGGTGCTACAGGCAATGTGTGTGCAGGTGCAGGTCTATCTGTCCTGTGCATGTGCAGCTGGACACTCCTGTCCCTCATTTCTCCCTCCTATGGTTCCATCCCCAGTCCAATACCTGAATGTCACCTCCATGAACAGAAACGAGTGGGGGAAAAAACTTCTCAGGGTCTGGGATGTGAATCTTCAAGATCTTCTTAAACCTTGAGAAAAGAGAATGAGAAGGACAAATGAAGCAGGGACTGATCCTGATAACTGTCTCTGTGGTGGGGGGTGGAAGAGTGCATTGCAATTTACAGGTACTGCCCTGGCATGGGKGAGAGGTGAAATAACATCGAGTCTGAGAGCTGTCCTTGCTCTTGAGTGGTCTGAGCTGCACTAGCTGAGCCACAAGAGGTATAGACATGAGACCGATAAACCTGGAATCGGAAAACACATTTCCCTCAGCCTTTTCCCTGGTGAAAGACAACCCCTGGTTTTACTGGTTTCTTCCCTGCCTTGCCTGGTCACCTTAATCTCTCCACCTGCACCCTCAAGCTCTGATGACAAGCTGAGCAGGCCTCCCTTGATTCCCAGCTCCAGATTCTGTGAGCTGCCCCTTTTTTTGTTTTGCTGCCAGCACAATGACTCAGGATGACATAGCCTGGGCAGGGTCATCACTAGGAAAGCTCTGCCACAGCTCTCTGCCCTCTTAGCAGGATGCTACATGGTGGTATAGCTGGGGCACACTGGCCATGCGAGCATCTGAGTGAGTACACCTTGCACTGGTCCCGAGGTCTCTCCTTCACTGGAACCATCTTGCAGTATGAAGGGATCTAATCTGCTCCTCAGCTCCTCAGAATTGTTGGCTCATCCTGTCACCTTTGCTGAAGATTTGCTGCAGGATGTTCTAAGGAAAGCCCCTCCTGACCTCTGGAGGCAATCGGTGCACTCTCTTGAAGCATCAGAACTTGCTAGCTCTTGCATATAAACTACCTTACATCATTGCAGATGCTATTTTTATTCATGCATGTCTAATCCTTCCTTGCATCTTACCTCAGCATTATTCTGCACTCAATTCCCCTAAGTTAATTACACTTTGTGGAGAAAGGAGGCCTTTTTAACTCTCTCTGTGCTGCACAGCTAGCACTTCCTCACCTTTGTGTTATGAATCAGGAAAAACTGGGACCAATGACTTTCTCAGTATCCATCTTCCTTCAACATGTCTGTCTTTCCTTATAGAGAAACCATCCTGCCTCTGCTGYTTCATCCCTGAGAATATCTCTCCCTGCTCTATGCCATGAATATCAGCACCCTGCTTCGTTACCCCTGTCCTGAGATGAGAAAGCCTGTGACTCTAACCACACCAGGCTGACAGGTCACTGTCCCTATTATCRCATGGGGTAACCTTGTGAGAAACTTTCAGTCCTTAATAAAGGCAGCATCTGGGTGGAAATGCTGGCAAAGGAGTTTCAAAGCATCATATAGGTTTTATTAACACGTGAGGACTGCATAGGACAGGGAGAACAAGAATTACACTCCTCACCCATGAGTTTTGCCTGCAGACCAATGTCACCTCACCCTGCCTGAGCTCCTACTGGAATTTTTAAATGAGAAGACAGTGCTACCCAGGCTTGCTTGGTCCTTGCTGCGGGGAGAGTGCTCAACCTAGTGACCTGCTTTTGAAGAGGAAATTTTGATGCGTCCCTGCCAGGAAACACCACTCTAACYCCTGGGCAACAGATGTGCTGAGACAGCTGTTTTAAATTTAGGCAGGGCATGGCACCAGGTCACAGGAGTGTGGCACAACACGACAATGCCGATGAAACCACATCATCTTGGGTGATGTTATTTCTCCACAGGCAAAAATCACTCTCAGAAGGTTGAGCTAGAAACCATATTTTAAAACCATCTCTATCCTGAGTAATATCAGGTGAACGATAATCTGAATTTTGAGAATACACACAAGATACAGGAGAAGAACAGAGATGTAAACTTAATTCTCAATTACCATTTCAGGGTCCGTAAGTTAATAAGGAAGGCAGTCCCAATGATCACGAAGATGAAGGTGCTCGCTATGAGAATGGGCAGGACTGGCTGGGATGTTTCTGGAAGATGAGAAACAATAAGGAAATGACTGGAAATTTAACCAGGATTCTGTAGGTAGAAGCTGCAGCCCTTTCATGGCTGTTCAAGGTGATCAAAGTGGGCCTTCTCTATAATTTTATATAATATTATAATATTATATGGAATTATAACATACTGGACAGAGTATGCATGAATTCTGCTGTGTTGTGTAGGATGTCTTTGAGCTGATACAGGTTTCAGAGCCTAAGCGTTACTTACAAGGTAATTTGTTCTGAACAGCTTGAACTCCCTATTCATACCAGCACCACAACTAGGGGCTGCCACGGGTGAGGTGGCACAGTCTGCTGGTTGAAGTGTTCACGAGTGTGTTTCAGTGCAAAGGAAAAAAAGGGACTCCTAAAAAAAGCTGAAGTGGGATTGAAACAGCATTAAGGGTCAGTGGAGAAGAGAGAGTCATGGGGTTCACAGGTCTCTGAGAAGGCCAGAGGATAAGGGTAGAGAAGGTTAGGCATCAAGGGACTGCTTGCTTTCTTTGGAGAGGTGTAGGAAAGCACTAGGAGACTAGGAAGATTACAGCTTTACACCATATTTTAGTACTTGGATTGTAGGGTTGGGACAAAGAGATTGGGTTCCCACATTGCCAGGGCTGCTAGCACTCCTCAGGCTTGCTTGGCATCATCTCAAACTTTCCTTAATCTGTCTCTTTCACACATATCTCCCTGGTGCACCTTGCCTGGTCTTGCTATTCTGGTCCCTGTTCCCTCTGCCTCATCTCCTCCCTTCCCTCGTGTCCCTTGGTCTGGTCATGCAGAGAATCTCTGGAGTAGTTACGAGAGAACTACTCTGAAAATGGAAGACGGAGGAGACATTTTTAGCACATTCTTTCTTTCCCTGTCCTTGAGATGCTGCTCAGATCACTTTGTCTCCTCTGGTACCCTGGTTATCTTTGGGTCTTGGTTGCTATGACAACTGGTTGCGGCTGTATCCTATTCACTGACATCACACACTGTCAAAATTTGATCACCACAGCAACAGTGCCCTTTCTAAACATAGCTCCTCTGTTTATACCAACACCAGGAACAACAGGGAGGGGTTGAGTTGGGGCAGGATGGGGGYAACATGAAAAGGAATAACCTCTGGGGTTTTTTTGGGAAAAAAAATGACAGAGGCCACAGCCAGTAACTCACTGAAGGGCACTATCTTTCAAGGCTGGAAGTTCATGCCGTTTCTGATGCAAGTCTCAGCAGACCTTTTTTGAAAGGGTCTTAACATGCATGTAAGTCAGTAAGTCTCTCCCAATTTTCATGAGCCTTTGCCTCCCAGGCTCAAGTGTTCTTCCACCTCAGGAGCTGAGAGTTCTGTTTCACTGCATTTCACTGATCAATACCTCCACTGAACTGGGCCATTTTAGGAAGCTGAATAAATGTTCCTAGTTAACACTAACATCTGGGAAAATGCCAGCCCTGACCACTGCTTCTGCTGGTCAGACATCTGGCCTTACTGCTCTGGGGAAACACCCCCTGATTTACACCTCATAGAAGTCAGAGGGGCTTTGCTGGGGTCAGGGGTCCTTGCTGATAAGCTGTGATGCTGAGATGATCTCACCTAACTGATCAGGAGGTAGGCTTTTCAACCCTTCTAATGCTCCTTGGTCAGCACAGTCCTCCCACGTATATTCCTTCAGCTTCTCACTGTTTTGGCCATTCTACCTTGTTTGCCCTGAGTCCCCATTTTCCCCGCCAGGTCAGACTACCTGACTGTTCCTTAGGGTCAGAGTGTGTCCTCCACAGGACCGGCTTGCTCCAGTCACTCCACGTGCCTTTGTGGTTGCTTCTGGTACTTGGCCTTGCACGGACAGTTGCCTCATATTTCGAGTTGGGCGAGAGTCTCTCAAACTTCACCCATGTCTGGTCCTGTTCAATGGACAAGTTCGTGGCCTCCTGGGAGTAAGGCAAATTTAGAACATCATCAACACACTGCTTTACAGCCTCATGTACCCATCTTTTCCAAGGCTCTCAGAGAAGGCCTGTCTCAAATCCTTACACCTCGTGCACTGCTTGTTCAGCCTGAAGGAAAATTCTTCTTCCCTTCACTTTGTTCATCCCTTTCAGGTCTGTCCTGGAACTGTCTTTTTTTTGTGACAACACTAAGTAAAATAGGATCCCCATCTGCCTCCTTGTCATCACCAAACACTGGCAGCAGGTGATACAGATAAAAGAGTGGGGGCTGTCACCCACTCTCCAGCTTCACCAAAACTGGATACATCCTGAGAGGAGGCCCAAGAAGAAGTCTTGGGTGACATAAACAAGCCCAGAATTCATATGGAAACAGGTCTCAGTTTCCCTTCTGTGCTCACCTCCCAGGACTGACTCACATGCCGGTACCGCACTTGGTATTCCCGCTCTCCATCCAAATAGTGAGAGGAAATATTCAGGCTCCATGTTAGGTTGGAGGTGTTTTCAGTTATGTTTACCAGCTGAAGGTTTTCTGGAGGTCTCAGCTTTACTGGAAAGAGAGAAGAAGTAGGGTTGATATCCCCGTACTCTGTCCATAACAGGACTGCACATCAAGCCCTTCAGCAGCAGGACATCTCCTTGGGACAGGTAAACTCACACATCCAGCAAAACAGTGCTTCAAGCAGATGTTTTTCTTCTGGATTAGTGAGCTGAATCCTTTCAGCAAAGACTGATGCATGCCATAGCTGGCTTAAAGAAGGGTGAAAGCATGTAATTAGTGGGTGCCAGGGGGGCAGAGAAAGAATAGCAAGATTTTCCACCCTTCTTGCAGCACACATTTTTCAAGAGGCAGCTGAGCTATCATTACCTGTTTGAAGACAGATATGGGATAGGACAGGATGTGGCTGGCATGACACTGCATGACAGGGGTGCAAGTGGCAGGAGTCAACATTGTGCTCTTTGCAGCAGGGGACAAGCAAAAGATGAAGGCCTAAAATCAGCTGTGGGTGTTGCACGGGAAGGGAAATTCGCTATCCTCTCATGGGGAAGCTTCAGAGACTGGAAGACAGATGAATACTCACTATTTGCAAATGGACTGAAGTTTTTTATTTGCACGGGTATTTTGGTTTCACTCTCTCCAAGGTGGCAATGGACAGACAAGTCAAGACGGTCTGAAATCGTGAGGCACTGAGTCTGCAAGGAAAATTAACCACTAGTGACAGTGAAACCTCGTGAACAAGCATTCAAATTTCTGAGCATTGCCTATGCATAAGGTGTTTAGGAATATTTGACAATAAATATAGAAGGTATTTGTGGCAGAAAGGCATAAATCTCAGTGGTGAGTGAGTAACCAGAACTTTACATATCATATGGCTGGATTTTYTTTTTTGTTTATTGGCAAGAGGGGCACAAAATATTGTGATGCACTAGTTTTCTGGGAATCCTGTATGTGCTGGCTAAGCAGAAAAAAAGTTACCTTCTGTGACTGACATTTATTAAGGTGCTTTATTTTTACTGAAACATTCAAAGTTCCCTGATAAGACTGCAACTGTGTTAGTATTAAATATTACACTTGAAATGCAATGCTGCTGAAGGGCCACATATAGCATACAGTACTGAATAAACAACAGCAAAATTATCTTGGTTAGAAAGAAAATATTTTGGAGCTATATACCATATACCAACCCTGCATTTGTCTTTGTACATGTTATGCAAATGTCTGAAAGCTTATCTGTCATTAGAACTGGTTGTGACTTTATTAATAAAAATATTAGCTCAAATTTGAGTGGGTGTTTTCTGAAAACATGGGGACTTCAGTGACTCTGGATATGACTGAAGGAAGTACATACTGAATTTAAAATAAGACTGATTTAATGAAGTATAATAGTCAGAAGATTTTCATCACCATTAGCTCCAGTGATGTGTTGCTGCTGCACCTTGCATTAGACACATCTAACCACACTTCACAGTAGTTAATCATCTGGAAATAAGTATTGACCATTACCCAGAAAATGAGATCAAGAGGTGACCTCAGAGCTGGTGGTGATGCCAATCCCTCCTCAGAGGAAGACATTAGGGCCAACCCAGCTAACTCAGACATGGGACACTGCATGTGATTTGTCTRTCCTGCAGCTCTTTTGTGTCAGGACAGCATGGTGCAGCTCACAACGAATCCAATCCCTGCAGCAGGGGAACCCACAGGAGCCATGTGTGTCAACAACACACAACACCAAACCAAATCCCAGAACCAGAGTCAGAGATTAGGTTTAGGCTTTGTATACTGCTCCTGGATATCACACTGTTTATAAACCCAAAAAGAATTTATAAATCCTTTCCTCCTTGTCATTAGCCAGGACATCCCAGATGAATTACTCACATGAACGTTTTGGTGGAAGGTCTTGATGCATCTCCTCAGTCCTGCCATATGCTCCACCTTGGGTAATTCACAGTACTTGCGTTTTTCAGTTAAATCCAGTATGCTAGGAAGGTTGTTTTGTAATTAGTCAAATATTGTGCAACACTGAAGGGCTTTCAAAGCATTTTACATCCTACTGTATTTACTGAACAGGTTACAGCAAATGTTTAATCCTACTTTCTCTCCCCACTGTATCACTCAGACATTTTATGTGCTGGCACATGGAGAGTCCATGCACCCCAGTTTTTTCAAGGCAAAGAAAATAGTACATTTCCAGTTTCAAAGACTTCGCAAAACCCTCTTCTTATCTCCTCTGCTTCCTTTTGATACCAGAGGGCATGCAGAGTGCAAACTTACCTACAGCACTGTGGCTCTGGAGGGCAGGTGCCTGTTTCAAACCCTCTAGGATTTACAGGTCTCCTTCCAGCCACTGACAGTCCTGTGGGATCTCAGATACTGAGTGATATGAGCCTTCTGAGCCAGGTCACATCTCAGGCAGCCAGAACAGCACATCACAAGTGGCAGCATAACACCATGACCTCTCTTCTGCTCTGACAAGTGCAGCTGGAGAGCCCCAGCTGAGCTATGGCATGGCGGGTGGCAGGGTGAAGAGCATCTGTGGGGATGTAGCTGGGGGAGTGTCTGAGGGGCCTGTCTATGTTGGTTTTGCTTGGCCCAGTTTTTGGAAGTGGGGGGGCCAAAAAGATGGCTCCTGTGAGAAGCTTCTGGAGGCTTCCACCATGTCCAGCAGAGCCAATTGCTGTTGGCTCTGAGGMTGATGGACATGCCACTGACCAAACCTGGGCCAATTGGAGATGGTGGTTACGCCTCTGTGAAAACATATTTAAGAGGAAATCAAAACAAACGGAGAGTC